CGTACATAGGAAGCTGTTCTGAATTATTACACGGTTACAATACTGGTGGTAACAGAATAAACGATTAACAAATTTTCCAAAGATGAAGGCTGCAATACTGTTGTCTACATGGAATGATAATAGTAAAAGTATCAGTCTCCCAGACATTAATGTTGACTTACCAGTTATCATTTCAATATTACAAATGTGCATTAAAAATGGAGTATAGAAGATCTTTAAAATAATAAAAGGAAATGAGACAAAACTTGAGCTTCATTTCTATTAACTTCTTAGTAGAATTGCCTATAGAAATGGAATTATTTTACATCTTCATTGAAAGTTTTGTAATAAGAAGAAATAAAAAAACCTAATTACAATCATTAGTAATTATAGTGATTTTGTGTTATTAGGAGTTGTGACCCTGTGGGGGAAACTACGTTTTGGCAATATGAAATACTAAACATAATAAAAGAAAAATCATGACTTGCAGACACACAGGTTCAACAAAAGTGTAACAGTTTCTACTGCAAGGGCTACTAGCAATCTCTGTTAGGAAACTGTATTACACATTGCCCAGTGGGAGGCAGATAGGCAAAGTCTGTTTATTTATGCATTTGGCATAATTGAAAACAAACAGGTGTTTGTTCGGATATCATTATTCAAGGAGCACCACTGCAAAATAAGGTTTTTTAAAGGGATTGACTCATGAGACATAATGGAAACAGTGAAGTAGAGAGCCTAGCTAACTATACAATGACTATCGAAGGATTTAATAATAGTGGAAATACTGTACAATGTAAACAGCAACCCCAGAAATAAATTTCTCGGTCAGAACTCAGTGAGATAATAAGAACAACCGGGTAAACTTAAGAAAGGCTTCATTTAGAATAATTTCCAGAAAATAAAACATTAACACTGGCCTTTCTCCTCCAAAACAAGCTCCCTAACACTGAGATGAATGAAATGTTTGGATAATTTTCTAAGAAAAAAAATTCAGTCAAAGATTGGTATTTCAGTCAAAAGGAATAGTGCACTAAAAATGTACTATAGGGAACATTGATTTAGACAGTAAGTATTTCATCTCTTCTGTTAATACAAGGATTAAAAAAAAAACATGCTTGGGAAAGGTGAAATCATACAAAATATTCTTGGAGCACCTGGAAGCAAAAGCAGATTTAATTGATAATTTCATTTTTAATTTAAAAACACTTCATGTATTTTGTTAGTTCACTATGTATTTGTAGTTCCTGATTTGAAAGTAGATCCCATATTTATGCTGTAAAAGCAGCAGCTCTAGGGATGATATTCATAGCCTTTGACATGAGAGAGTTACAAGACTGCAGAGATGATCACTATGAAACTCTTTTGTCCTCATTCCTGGTTTTAATGAACACAAGAAATTAGTTATTTTAGTAGTCTAGATAAGCTTTAAAAGAGCAGAATTGCATTCTACATTGAATACAATCCTCATAAAGAACACATTCGATAATGTGGTTAAATCAGACAATATAAAATATTTTCTTCACAGAGGACTGCTAAGAACGCATAGCAAATGCTGCTGGTCAGCCTAATTCAGCAAGCCGCAATTATAACTATTTCACTCAGCTAGAGGCTTCTTCATCTGCCCAGATTTCAGAATGGGCAGCAGTGGTACCACCAATACGATCTAAAACACTCTCTGAAGAATCAGTTCTGCTTCAGCTGCAGAGTTTTACAGGGGACATTGCTGCTCCAAAATTTTGTACAGAAAAAAGGCTGATAGCCATCTATGGTTTTAGCTTCTCTTTGCTATTTTTATTAGGGCAGCTTTTTATAATTCAAAATACCCATTTGCACGCAGTCTTTTTCCTTTTCTAAAAAAAAGACTGCATATCTATTTTCTTCATGTCTATTTCTGATACAATCAAATGGTGGCATGATATGGGACTTTCTGTTTATTAAATCAAAGTTGTGACCAGGAAAGAAAAAGAAACACAGATTCATCTTCCACACAAAATGCAGAGTGTGCAACAGTACTGGATTCCAAAAAATATCAGTGTTACTGTAGAACTTTTGACCGATTTTGTAGAACACTGCAGTATAGGCCGTCTTTTTTTTTTTTTTTTAATAAAATCCACTTTGAGGATAAAGATGCAACTAAAACCACTGAATTATCTGTTGACATTACTTACACACGTTTATAAATACCACATTTCCAAGAGCTATTGGGAAAGTTTACAGTTTTAGGGGGTTTAATTCACATTAATGTGCTTTTGTCACAAAACGAAACAACAAAAGAGCCGTAACACTAGCTTACTTGTGGATGTGTATACTAGTGAACTGGGGGCACTGTACACGGGAGATCCCTCCTGGTTTGCCTGGCACAGCAGCACCCTGCCTACAAGAAAGAGAGAGAGAGTGGTATCTGGTTTTGGAACACTCGAACTAAACCTCCATTTTCATCTCAAAACAGAAATAAAGTGCGGTGAAGCAGAGGCACTTTCTGCCCTTTAACTTCAAAGCAGAAAGAGCCCCAACAAACACGTACAATTTTACATTTGAAAAAGCAAAACACAGACATCCCCCAAAACACCAACACCCTGTGGATCACCTGGGGAAGCTGGTGGACGCCCTGCGCACTGCCAGCGCTCCCCCGTCCCTCGCCCCGCTGCTCTCTCTCCCTCTCGGCCCCGTCTCTCTGCAACAGAACCTGCCTAGTTAGCTCTGCTGCCAACCGGAGCCGCCGACCCGCCCTCACCACCCACCTACTAACGCATCTCCCCACCTTCGCCGGCTCAGGCAAACACAGCAGATAAATCCGACTGCAAAGCTCCCATACACAGGTGTTAGGCCAAGTTGAGCTCAGTTATAGCACTTAAATTCACACTGGTGCAAGTGAAACTGAGATATTACTAATACATGTGAAGATTTCAGTATATTTTGCTCACATGAGAAATACATAAACACAAGCTACTTTCCAGTATATAAGCTGAATTCAGAATTAAGAACAAAAGCAAATATAATAAAAGAAATCATTTTCTTAAAAAAGAAAAAAAAAAGTAAGGTAATATCCAAATCAATTTAAAACAATACTTTTGCAATGCATGTTCATTTTGAACAAATGACAGAAGTTTAGGCTTATTTCATTTTATCTTTTTTTTTGGTAAAATGAGCTTAAATAAAATGCCTTACTATTTCAACTTCTTTCTTAAAATTGTATTTTAGTAGTCTTAGCTGAATACAGATTGAACATTGATTAGAGGCAGAAACACCTATACTTTCATACTAGGAAAAAAACTTCTGCACTTCTGGAATACAGTTCACCAGGAAGAGCAGGATGTGACTCATCAGTTTTGCAGATAGATGTGTATATACCTGTATATACACACACACAAAATTATATATATACACACATACACTGACATACTTCAAGCTGTCAGGATTTGTGAATCAGGCAATTTCAAAAATACTGCATTTACAAGAGAGACTTTAGAAGTTGTGCATTGACTTATAAGCAATGTAATTCAACAGAGTTGAGTCAAATACGTTTGGAAGGATAAGATTAATTACAAATGGTAGGCGTGTTTTCCATATAGTATTACAAGAGCAGTTCTCAACTTACATTCAGTTACCAGACCAGAGTTCTTTCAAAAAATGGTTTAAAAAAAAATCTGTCATTAACCAGTTCTTCGATTATTGCTTGCAGCTATCAGTTGAGGTGGAAATACAGGAAACACCGAAGGAAAATAATTCTTGTAATTTATGCAATTTAGCTAAGACTGTGAGCACTGAAAAGCTCATTAAATATACGCTTCTAACCTTCCCAGACAATAGCACACCTTCAACTAAGAGCATTGCTTGCTTTTTTCCATCCATCCACTAGTAATCTGAAAGATAAAACAAGCTAAAACCCCTTTTTTTCCCCTTACTTTAGGATAGCACATAGTTGGCTATGTTGATATCTCTCTTTCAGCCTTCCCCAAAAAATCCACAACTGCAAGCTGTTAAATAAACACGTACCTACTGAGAACCTAATGGCAAGCATCATTTTCGGGCTAGTACATAAACAGGATCCATCAACACACTTGGCACTAGGAATGTGCACATTGGACTATGGATGTATTTTAACACCATGGGTGCTACAAAACTTGTGCTGCTACAGAAGCCTGAAAATGAGAGTGAGCTGAAGGCATAGAGGTATTCATCCGGCTTCGAGGCATTCATCAGTGAAACGTGGAAAGGAAAGAAATTTTTACAATCAGTAATTTTCATTAGATTTTAAGAATAATGTAACTAAAATGACTTCAAGTATATTTAGTAAATATATAAAGGTTTTTAAAAATCAAAGATTATAGTTTATTTAAATTATTCAACATAAATTCTAGATGACACTTTGCTTGTTCCATGGTTTATAGGTATTTTCCTACACTTTGCAGATAACATTCTTATATTTTTTCTGATTTCATCTCATACAAATCTCATTTTCCCTACTCAAGTCTTCTAATTTCTAATGAAAGCACTTCAAAACAGATGCTTTTTTCATCCATGCTACTAGAGTGTATTTAATTTGTTGCATAGAGCTTTCTAATTATATTTTGACAATCTGCCTTTGAATTTGTACATAAAATTAATACTATAACGTAAAACAGTATTATTAGATTTGGTTAGAAAAATATGGAACTTTTAAATTTACTTTTGTGAGAAAAGATTATTTCTGCTGCATCTAATTTTGGTATTAAAATATTTAAATTGTAATTAATACAACTAGGGAAAGATTAAATTATTTACAACAAGATATTCTGGATAAACTTCAGAACATTGAAACAATCAGTAAGTTCCTTAATGGGAAAAAAACTATTATTTTTCCTCTAGGATACTAAATTCTAGTATGACAGAATAGAGCGGTGGGTTTTTTTTAAGAAAGAAGATTTTAATATAAAGATCTTAATATGCCTGTTCAAACTGTAATTTAATAATATCATGGAGCTGATGAACTTCAAAAAATTACAGTCATGCAAGAGTTCATCTTTAATTTTTCAGTGTCTGATGTTTTCTCATTGAGAACAATCTGCGTGCTCTTTGCTGTTCTCCAATATAAGCATCTACTTGTTTGGTCACAGCAGAGATGTGACCAGCAATACAGGATTCTGGAGATCATCAGCAGAAAGCCCCTCCTGACTCACTACGTCAAAAGGATCAGAAAAATACTAGCATCTGTATCCGAAGAGTGTATTCCCTACAGGCACACAGGAGAGCTTCCCACAGCCAGTGGCAGAAGGGAAACCAAGGCAGCCACGCTGCTGTGTGTAACGGGGAGAACAGCCCGGGCTGGCTGAGCGAGCTGGTGGGTTGTGCCGTGCACAACAGGTAGCTGTGCTGCGGCAGGGCACGGTGGTGGGGGCTCGGCGCTGCCGTAGGATTGCAGAGATCCCCCCGACTGATTCACCGCTCATCCTCAGCGTACAGGCTGGCAGCACGGACTAAAGCATGCTTTTCAAGATCAAAAAATATTCCCACTCATACTTCTCTCCTCCAATGTTTTCTCCTACAGTCCATGATTAAGAACGTACTGTTTGATTAGGTCCTTTGTTGAAGCACTATAGTTATTTTGAGAAAACAATTACTCTAAAAAAAATCAGGGCTGTGAGGAAAATGATGTGAAGTCATGAATACTTTTAGAACACCAAAAATCCAGTTCCCAGTGGCTCCAAGATACTTGATGAAGAGTAGTTCTCTAATGTTTTTCATACTTTCAAAAATAAGGGGTTTTTTGTATAGTTCCTATTTACAAGATTTATATAAATTAACCTACAGAGCATAAATGGAAATACCAATGTACTAGCGATGATGCACAGACTACTCACTGGCTCATACATGACGTACGACGAAGTTCATTGTATTTGTCAAATACTCAGGTAGCTAAGAAGGGATGAACAACAGGAGGACTTTCCAGTAAATTATAAAGGATTTTAAATCACTTCTGTTTAAAACAGCTTTTAGGTCTAACTGTAACCACTTTGTAGCCAGCAGTACAGACAGCTTAAAAGTAAAGATCTGGAATAAGTTTAAAAGAGTTTGTATAACTAGTTGGAATCTCCTGTGGCATCCTTTGTGGAAATATATATTGAAACATTTTCAGCAGAAAAAAATTAATACCATTGGTTAAACTTATGCTGCTGATGTAAAATAACAGTGTTGCAAGGCCCTGATCATGGGAATAGTGCTACCCTGTCACAGGAAGGAGATGAAACTTTTAGAAACCTTCGCTACCAGAACTGTATGAAGTTGATATACCATTACCAAGAATCTGAGTTCACAATGCATCACCTCCCAGTATAGATGGCTTTAGTACTTTTGCTCACAAACAAAAAGTTTCCAATTTAGTAAATTACTAAAGTTACTTATTCCCCCAGGATTTCCAGGGATTTCCAAAAAGCAAGAGGACAGAATTTGCACGGTGCTCTTCTGTTACATTCCAGGGCAGAACCCTAGCAAGTTACTAAGTGAGACAAAAGGTAAAAAAACTATTTCCTACTTTCACTCTGGGAATTCTAAAAACCACAGCTCCATATAAAGCTCTTCAGACAGCTCCAAAGATGACAGTGAGAGAGAGTTCTATATAGGGTACAACTACCTCCACCATAACAAGGGGGTAATCACACAAGCATTTTCAGTGGCAGAAACTAATCAAGACAATATCCAGGACTGGCCTACATTGGGTATTAGTGTACATCTAGCTAAAAATCAGACTTTTTAATATAGAAACTAAGGAATTTACTACACACAAGGAGATCTAGTGAAGATTACAGCACTCTAATCCATTGGGCATTTAGCTTCCCAGGTAAAGCAGCTCTTTACACATATTTATTCTATTGTGTTACCAATAAGAGCCTCTTACTGCTTTTGGCAATTTGGTACCAGTTCATACATTCTATAATACTATTTACCAAAAAAAACCTCAAACAAACCCACAGGAAGGAGTGAACAAAAGCTAAAAATATTTGTGTCTCATTTTGTCTGTATTATTATAAGATTTTATTTTATTACTCTAATCCAAAAGCCACATTATTTACTAAATTCAGTGCGTGTTACTTCATTTTCCCTTTCTCCCAATACAACTGGACGTTACGTAGCCTAATGTTGTCTTAGTCATTCTGATCACTGTTCCCATTTGTACCTTTTGCAACAACTATTTTTCCTGTATACCGAATTCCTCTTCCATATACAATGCATGAAGAAAACTATAAGGCTGCATCTCTCACGAACACATCAGGAGATTTGCTGTTGTATCAAAGATCCTCATAAACAATCCATGTCTGCTCTTGATTTGCTGTTCTAAAATTGTAATTTGATATTGGCCTTTCCAGACAGAAATAGCATTATCTTTGATCTGGTTTG